TTTTTTCCATGGATGTTGAAATAGAATAATGTGGAAAGAGGCCTTTGAGGATAAACAACATCTTTTTCCAGCAACGTATTGGCTAGAAAACTGTTTAAAAAATCTTTTCGGTATTGGGCTGTTTTGTTCTGGGTTTTCTCCCTTCTTTATCATCTTGCATCTGTTGTCTGTTTTGCTATTTGATAAAAGATTATTTATTTTAATTAAAAGTTATTGGCGGGATGCAACTAATATTCTATCTATTGGGACTCAAGCAGAAATTAGTGACTCAATAAACTCTAGCTTCCCTGAGAATCTGTTTAGAATAAGCATTTCCAATTTCAGAAATGTAACATTACAAATTTTACTGACAAAACTTCATCAGATATCATTAAATAAATTATTAAAGTTTCACCTTCAAGTTCCAAAAGTTTATCTGCGAACTTTGTCATAATTGGAATATGTTGAATGAATAGATCTGCTTTAGTAAATACACTGGATACTATTTGAAAAGGGCCTCTGAAGTTGCAAGTGATAGTAAAATTTTTATATTTTGGTCACTAGTGACAGGAGTGATGCTAAAATAAAGCCTGCCCATAATAACTGCTTACGGCCAGATTTTCCCAGGTTGCAAGTGTTTACAACTTTAAGTGTTTGAAGGGTATTCATTATTTCTGAATCTCAGCATTGTACACTCAGATATAAACTTCTGCAGCTCTTCTTCCCTGGCTGTTACTGTTGATTTAGCAGGAGTTTCCTCACAGAAAGGAATAAAAATTGAGCATGAAGAACTGTCAAGGATTTCCTTCAGTTTGCTTATGGTGAGAACACTATCAGTCTGCTAAACTTTAAACACGGATATTCAAAATCAGAAAAAAATAAAACTGAGGAGTTTTCTGCTATTATTAAAATATTTTAGAATGCTTCTCATTTATTTCACATCATGTACTGAACCGTCCTACTCAGTCAAAGGGTTCTGATGCAGTAAAAACATTTGACTAAGGATTTCTACATATAGAAACTGTGGATTTTTGTCTGTGCAAGAAGAAAAACTTTTCTTATTGCAGGTCTGTTTCATAAGCTGTCGGAAAGGGCATTAACAATATAAAGAAAGTACCATAACAAAAGAAAAATTGCTATTCTTTCTGCCTTTTAGAAGCATCATTGATGTCTCTATACCACATCTTTGAAAACTGCACAAAAAAACAATGCACCTGGATTATTTGCCCATTTGATTTAAAGTGTCCTGTTTCATCTACATTTTATTTAGTATAGCTGTTTTTTTGTTTTCTTTTGTTGTTTTGTTTTTTTTTTTTCAGAGAATGAATTTCAGGATTATCTGTTAAATCAGGCAAGACATCTTGGACTGAGTGACAAATTTGGTCCTTTGGAATCTGCACATATTTTCACCCGGAAACACACAAAGGTGGGATAATTTATTTACAAAAATGAATTTGAGTCAAAATAGATCTCTATATTAGTGCTAGAATACTATGTGATTTCATGTGTAGTTTCTTGTGCACTATAACTATTTTTCTCTCATATCATCTGCTGTTTTGAGAACAGCAGTCTTCAACAGTCAGGTATAACAATATTGAACAATTGAAAAAGATATAAATCTTTGTAACTACCTAGAAATTCTAGTTTTTAAGTTTCAGAACTACACTCTGTTAGCATTACATACTGACAGGAACACAACTATCTTTGAATCTATATGACTCCAGGACTGAGAATGTATTTCATAATGCACTGCTTAAATTTAATCTGTGAGGGATAGCTTATTTGTGAAATTTTTTTTTATAAAGCTTATTGAGGTTTTTTTTAAACTATATATCAGCTGGATGGGATAAAAACTTTGGTTATTTGTAAAAGATCTCAAGGTGTCAAAGCATTTTTTTCTTTTTGAATATTGACACTCTT